TTAAAGTTTCCTTCTGACTATAATATTCAAACTTTTTTCATAGAATTATTCCACATTGGAAGGAGGTGGCCAATGTAATAACGCAATTCGCAAGTTCAAAAATTCATTTTATCTGTTAAAAGTCAGGGAATATTGGTTTGTTATTCCACTGTCACATTTGCAGAGATCCAAGCTATCTGCACTTGTGGCACATAATTCAGCATATTACAAGCTCCTCATCATTGTTTTCCTTCAGATTTTATTATCTACCATAAATACCAGCTGCTAAGTCATTTTATGTAGTCTGTTGATGAACAGCTTCAACACAGAGACAAAGCCAATGGAACATTTTCGTGTCTTTTTGCAACTCATAACCCAGAGCTGTGATCCTGAGTGAACGTGATCATCACACTCAAATATTGGCTGTCCCTAGAGCCAGAGGTAACTGGGTGGGGAGAGGAGCTAAAGGTGTGTTTCCAAAGCTTTGCTGCTCAGAGATGCTGCCAGCCACTGCCTGTCCCTCAAGGAGATGAGCTTTCTGTCAGAAAAGTTTCTGACACGTGAGTTTCTCCCAGAACGAATTCATGGAATTCTCTGCTCACTTCTCTGTTCACTCAACACCTTATCAAGTCCTAATGACAGAGAGATAAAGTATCTTTTTGGCATCATTTGGCCCTAAAGTTATCCCAAATCTAGTTCCTCTTTTATCTGTTACAGATAAGGAAGGTAGAGAATTAAGGAGTTTTCTATAAACAGGGATTGAATAACTTCACATTGTCATTTAACACCAGAAAACACCAGAAAATAAACTTGCCTTTTTAAGACTTGATTGCTTTGCTGCAGCTATAATTCGATACAAACTATTAACTACAACATCAATTTCTAGTTTAACCACATGTTACCAGTGGACTGCCTAATTATGGGGAGATTAAGTGGCTGGCAAAGCAAATTTTATGGAGAAGAAGCTGCCACTAGTAGAAGTTTTATGCTATTTTGTGTTTCTACTTGACACAGGAATTCTGAGATTTGAGATAATATTAGATATGTCAGTGTTTAGTGTTTTTTTCCTTCCTTTTTTATGTGTGAGTAGAAAGATATTTTGTTGTAAGCATATGTCATAAAGGAAATGTAAATGAATAAAACATAAAAGTAAATAAAATTCCATGACATGAACTTGGTATGTGTCTACTTCATGAATATTGATTTGCACATTTATTTTTTAATCTGTCAGATTAAATCATTAATGAAGCTGAAGCCTCAACATGAACTCTATTAAGGGTGATCTAACCACACAAGTACTTCATAGGGAAATACTTTTATTTTTCAGAGTTATGTGAAAATACTGCTTATTCTGGCAGTACAGTCTTGGTTTTCTCTGGCAAAATAGAATGGAATTATGTGCAGAAGTACACCTAAATCCTATTGTCATAACTGAGGGGAATCATTCCCTTTAGTTTGGGTAGCATATCTTCAATAATGAATGGTGACTTGGTGTTTTCAGTGCACTGCTCCTTATAATGCATCTGAATTCTTAAAAAGAGGAAGAAAAAAGGTACTTGTGGAAATTAACTAATGAATAATTAGGCTGCACTAAGCTGTATTTTGCCCTCATTATTCTGTATTTAGCCTATTGGAAGAACTTTGCCCTAGTTTGTTTCACAGGATCTTTCAAGAGATATTTAATTAAAAACTATTCATCTCTATTAGTGACAAGTCTCAACTTTTAATTGAAATGTCATGCCAAGCCAGCTTTGGTTGAGTCAGGTTCAAGACCTGATAATGGAAGTTCTCAGCTGGCATTAAAAACCCTTATTTCTGGCTTTTTCTGTTACTTTCTCATTCTCCAGCCCACAGCTCTATGTCGTGGTTTCTGCCAGTTAATATTTCTGAATTTCTGCCCTGATTTCCAGCCTGTGCAGAAGGGAGGGCTCTGTGGGTACCACTCCATCCTCTGTGGTCACTGCTCTTTCCAGTGTAGACTGAGCCACAGCCACAACTGGAAAGCAAAATTTGCTCTATCCTCAGCAGACAGATGTTCTATAGAACCCAATGTAATAAACTATAAAACCCAATGGAGTGGGTTTTTGTCCTAAAGTAAAACTTAACAATTTTATTTTTCTTTTAATTGAGATAACCCATAAATTCTAGTAGACGCAACCAGCTTTTACTTTTAATTACCTTTCTGAGGAGATAAAATATATAAAATGTATAAAATGTATATAAAAGATATATTAGTTTTAATAATAAATTGACAATATAAAAACAAAAAACAAAATGTCCTAAAGTAACTTTATAACACTAAATGATATCCCCATTCATCTATTTAACCCAAAAATAAGTTTTATACCTTTAAAGCTAATTCTGAAAACAAAATCTAGAAACTATACAACTCTATATTAACAATCTATAAAGCTACAAATATATGAAAAAGGTAAATATCTTTAAGCATTAACACCAGTGCTTTCCACACCAGGTGAGATAGTTTCAGAGCTGTTTCCCAATACCAGAACATTTGTCACTGTGAGCAGGACAGCAGTCCAAGTTCCAGAGCACCATCATGGCCTCGGAATTCAGACTTTTTTTCCCCTACAATACTCAGATTTTTGATTGTATCAATCCTTCTTGAAAAAAATAAAGGAAAACAAAAAAAAACCCCAAAAACCCCTTACATCTCTAATGGACCAGAATACAATACTCAGATTTTTGATTGTATCAATCCTTCTTGAAAAAAATAAAGGAAAACAAAAAAAAAAAACCCAAAACCCCCTTACATCTCTAATGGACCAGAAAAGTTTTCAACTCATAGTACTGGAAAATTTGTTTTTTCTTGACTTAGATTCACAGAACTATTAAATTTGGAAAAAACCTTTAAGATCATCATCAAGTCCAACCATCAGCCCAGCGCCACCACCATGCTCACCAATAAATCACATCCTCAAGTGCCACAAACACGTTTTTTGAACTCTTTCAGGGAAGGTGACTGGAATATTTGCAGTCGCATGCTGATCATAGCAATATCAGATCAGTAAGATGTGATAGTTCCAAGGTTTGAAGTCTCCATTAAACATCAGATTGACAAAGAAATTGATTTATTTGGACACATTGCATAGGAGATTTAAAGTGGAATTCTGAATAAATGGAGTTGTTTCAATTAAAAAAAAACCAAACCAGTCCTCAGTTAAAGCAAAGACAAAACCAAGTAATTTAACCTATTTTCTCATTTTTTAAAGACAATCATACATAACTAATTGACTCTTTTTTGTTAATAAATTAATTAACCTTAAATCTGGGGATCTATTCTTTTATACTGCCTTCAACAAAGACAATTGTTTTACAGAAACAAGGTAGTTTATCCTCCTGAAGGACTTTATGGAATCTGTCTGCATAGAGTACATTAAAAATTAATCTAATTAGCTGAATTAATTCAAAATACACACTTAAAAGGGTTAAACTGAGATTAGGACATAGCTGTGTTATAAATTATACAGATATGAATACCAGACAATATCTGAAAAAAAGGGCTAATGTAAAAAGCAGCATTAAGAAAGAAATCAGAGGTATAGGAGGGGGAAGGCCCACTGTTAAAAACATGTTAGCAATAATTGGGTCTAAGAAGTGGATTTTCCACAGAGGTGTACTGACAGGTCAAGTTCCTGCTCTTTTTAATTTTCAGATTTATAGAGTATTTGGGGTTTGGTTTGGTCTGGAGCAGGGCTAAGTAAAGCTGCTCCAAAGGGAAAAAAATATATATAATGTAGGAGAAAAGCTGACACTAAAGTCTAGTTAGAAGAGTTATTTTCAAGAAGGAATTTCAAGATCTCATCAGGAGTGAACAAAGTGGAGAAGAATTCTCCAGGAGTGATGCAGGAGGAGTGGAAGGGCTGGGGATACTCATGGACACAGAGTGACAGATAATGGGTTTGAGCATTTCTGGCTCTCATCCATCAGGTCCATAAACATAATAGCTAAAGCTTTAAAGCAGATTGACTACTTGTCAAATAATCTAGGAAAGAATTGGTAATTATGCATACATCTGAATTCTGGAAGAATTCAGCTTTTACAGTGCTGCTGCCTGTAGTATCAAGACCAAGAGGAGTGGAAGTGAGGTGCTGCTCACTCTATAAGGGAATTCCATGTCTGACTTCTCTGAGGGAACTTTCTTGAACAAAACACCACCTGTGCATGAATTTAAGCTCTGAAATTCTGCTTTCTCCCTTCTAAACATGTCAAACTTCACTGGGCTTAACAAAGAATCAGACTTTGAAATCTGAGATCACAGATTTCCCATTATTGCCTTTCAACCTCGCTGTAATCTCTCTCATTTGAAGGATTGAACAGGATGAGTTCTAACACATCAGGTAGCTAATTTTTGAGTCAGAGGTGCTTGCCTTTTCATTTGTATCCTAGCTGAGGTCCAGAGCTATAACACTGTCTTCTTAAACATTGATTCCAATGGATTTAAGTAAAAAACTTAAGATATAACTAAAGATATAACTGCCTGTCTGTCTCACTCCATGATGGAAGCAAACTTTTCTATCTTAACAATGTTGTTTTCAGCCTGACAAGATAAACTGTGAATTACCAGTTTCCAAACCTCCTGTCTAAAATAAATCAAAGATCTTTCTAATCTGAGAAGCCTGTGTTGGGGTCCCTGACAATACATCCAATTATTGAATGTTTTTCTTGTCTGCAATATAATGTCTGAGAAAAAAATATAGTATTTTCTTAATTTTGATTATGTTTTCATTCACATTTTAAACACAGCTTTTTGTGAAGTTATCCAAAAATAACGTCATGACCATAGAATTTGAAATTGTAACAAATCCCACACATGCCTACAGATTCTACTTTGCAATTAAGATATTTCCTAGCTGGTTTTGCTCATCCCTTCTTAGCAGACAGTCTAATGAGGCAGGTAAGAAGTGTTTTATAATACTCACACGTATCTGTAAACCAGACTTAATGTCTCCTGAAGAAATGCAACCCCTGTGTAAAACAATATATTCTGTAGTACTCTTTACCTTGGGATCTCAAAGTGCTTTTGTGGTGGTCTGGCCCTGCCTGGAGGCCGGGTGCCCAACAAAGCTGCTCCATCAGTCCCCTCCACAACTGAACCAGATAGAGAAAATGTTGCAAAAAAAAAATCAAAAAGAAAAAGGCAAAGGAAAATAAAAGAAAGAGAAAAGAAATGTGGCAGCAGCTCTCTGGCTACAGAGAGAAACACAACTGTCCCAGACATCGTTCTGGGAAAGGCTGTGAGGAAATCAAGGAATGAGAAACAATTCTTAACTTGCTGCAGCTGGTGTTGTGAACATGTGGAATGTGTTAGGGAAATTTGCTTACCAAAGGGTGGTTTCTTAATTAGCCCATGGTGATGGTGTTTTAATTAAAGGACCAATCAAGTCCACCTGCAGTGAACTAGGGTCTAAAAAGAATGGGTTTCTTAATAAAATATGATCAGCCTTCTGTAAATATCTTGATTATTACCCAGTCCTGGCCTGTTGTGATGATAAAGAAACAGGAAAGTGAAAAAGAAGAAAAAAGTAAGGCTGCCTTTACATAATTGGAAGAAGCCATGTATTGACAGCTCTGGTTTTCAGGAGGCTGGAAGTCCTTAAGGACTTAAATTTCAAAGATACCTCCTCTGGTGGTGGCCACAACAAATTCAGGATATTTATGGAGTGCATTTATGGAGTGTAACTTCCTGGCACCAGTGTTCAAGGAGACAATGAGTGGTAGTGCTTTGGTGGATCTCATAAATAAGAAAGGGATGTTTGGAATGTGAAGCTTAGTGACAGTTTTGCCTGGGCTGGCCATGAGATCATGACAGGATATTGAGAGTAGAAAAGTGAGAAAATGTGAAATTACAGCCCCAGATAGCAGGATAGCAGCCTGCTGAGTGACTTAGAAGATGGAGAAAATAAGTCTGTAAATATTTTCCACGCATAAGGTACACAAGAAGGTAGTTGGAAGAAGCCAGCATGGATTTATGTCTGACCAAAATATTTCCTTTCAACAATTATTTTGTCTTCTACTTGGGGAGACCAGAAATTTAAGAAATAGCTTAACTGGAACATGAACAACCACTGTCAATAAGATTTCTACAAGTCAGAATTTCCCAAACAACAGAAAAAAGAAAGAAAAAAAAAAACTTTGAAAGATTTTAAGCTGGAAAGACTAAGTCTGTTGTCAGTACAAATGTAGAACTCACGTTTTAAGTAATTTACATTTTAAGAAATTAACTGTTACAGGTATTTTCCAATTCTGCCAGTTTCACTGCCCATGACTTAATAAGTAGAGTGGCTTTACCTACTAAATCCTAAATATACTTCATACATCTTAGTAAAGTTTTTCGTTCTTAGACAGATCCATTCACATGACAAAAAAAATACACAAGATGGCAGTAGGCACCTGCAGAGCTACAGAACTGTAATGACTGTCAAATTTTAATAAATTCCCAGGAATTTAAATACAATTTCTAAAAAAACAACAAAAAAAAAACCAACAAAAAAAACCCCACAAAAGCCCCCAAAAAACCATACCCTAAAAAGGAAAAAAGATAAGAACAGGACCCATGCTGGCTTTTACCACAGGGTCATGCAGGGCATTCTAATTTGCTAATATTGTCTGGAATTTTTTCATTCTGGAATATGAAGATTTATCTGTATCAAATTGTTATGTTGGCTACAGACCTCTTATCCAAAGGCTCAAGTGAATTAGGAAAATGGTGGATTTTCAGTTTTATATTGGACACACTAAGGATTTTAAACTTCTAAAAAACATACATATGTCAGGTTTCTACTGGAATTCTCAACGTGCATCCTAGCACTTCAGAAAAGTGTATGAGATATTCTCCTGCAGTTTCAGAAGCATAAATACCTCTTCAGGCCTTTAAAAATATATTTTTACTGTTATTTAACAAAATTGTGAAAGAAATAAAAATACCATGTGTGCTTTCATTACTGGGAGTATGCTGGGGTTTTTTTGTTTGTTTCTTAAATCATTGGTAAAGATACATGTTGGAAATGCTAGCAAGAATGCATTAAGAAAATGCTAAATTAAGTCATTCTAATACCTGTTTGGCAGATTTAAGTGCTATTAAATTCAGGTATGTGAATATTATTTATTTTACTGACAAATGCATATTCCAGCAAACATCCCACATGCAGTCTTGTAGTTGTTAAATTGCTGCCATTTGATTAACAAAAATGCTCTTTGTGCTTCTGAATCTTCAGTGATGTCATGATGAATATATGTGTTCTCCTGCGCAAAACAGGGTTTTAAAATAACCCAATAATAATCGGAAGACTTTCTTTTTTAGAAGTAGTTGCTTTAGACAGTAAGAGTAGTGTATGATTTCCCTTTACAGAGGTGGTTAATGCAGCTTAGGACCTGACACTGCTGGCTGTAATTCTTGCACTCAGTGGAGAGTAGAGAAGAAAGAAGAACTCTGCTTGGTGTTTTAAACATTTACCTCAACATCTCTGCAATTAGAAAGTGCCATTCCCACAGTATCTGGGGGACTGACTTCCTCAGGGAAGCCTGAACACAGAAGGATCTGCTTGGTGAATGGCTTTGCTCCATCTAATGTTTAAAGTTGGAATTGAACAGTTTTAAATTTGAAATAGACCATTTTGCTATTGAAACTGATATTTTACACTAAAGACTGGCGTATGAAGAGTTGCACATGAGTGTATGCACAAAGAAATTCAATCCAATATCAAACTGATCAGGCTGTACTGTGGACAGGGCACTGCTCACTTGGGGAGCCCAGAATCCTCTGCCCATCACATGGGAAATTAAAAATCATTAATGTTCTTTACATTTTGGCCAGCCCTTCAGTGCCAGCAGTTGGATTAGGTGATTATTTGAGTTGCCTTCCAGCTGGACTAGTCTGTTCTGTTCCTCCTTTTCACAAACTGGTTTAAACACAGAAGACCAAAGGAAACGAAACCTCAGTGAATAAAATGAATTGAACCCAGAATGGTTTGAAATATACCCAAAAACATGATTGAAACCAAATGAGGTTATATGTTGGTGTAAAAAAAAACTTGATATATTTTACTTAATAATAAAAAAAAGGTAAAGAGGAAGGAGGAAGGAAGGAAGGAAGGAAGGAAGGAAGGAAGGAAGGAAGCTCACTGCTGAGAGTCTTTCATGGCCAGAAGTGCAAGGGCCAGGCTAAACAAACAGGTGGGGATACAGACTAATCTCTGAAACTTTGGTGGATGCTAAATAAAAATTTCTGATGTTGATACTTGCTATTGTCAATATCAGAATGATACATCTATAATTGACAAAATCAGATTAAATGGATCACAGGGAGTTCTACAGGATTAATTTAGTAATTTTTGGAAAAAAAAATTCCCAGAAAATGTACAAATATTGTAACCTGGAAAAAATATTTAAACACAAGAAGAGATTGATGTTTGATGTTTACACCTTGATACCCTCCATGTGAAATGCTGACCTCGGGTGGGAAGCACAGCCTCAGGGCTGGCCTGGAGGCCAGGTCAGACACACTGGGTAGCTGGGGTGACTTTTCTGTTCCCCTGGGACTGGAAAGGAGGGGCTGACCTTGGCTGGTGTGAATTTGTTATTTCTGAACTTTGCATCAATTAGAAAGAAGCCTTCCACTAATAATCTCATTTCCTATCAATGTAATATTGTTTAGCCTTCTTACCCTCACTGACCAAAGGATGCACAAATAACATTGGTTTAGTTTTATAATAAGTAAACAGGTAAAGGGAAAGTCGTCTTAAAATGCAAAGAAATGTAAATAAACTGAAAGGCACAACATGCATTGATTTTTCTCCATAATAGCATGGATTGGTCATCTCAAAGGGAACTTTTCTATGAATCCACTTTTCTTACATGGCTGCTGAAATAACTAATCTGTCACACCATTTGCTGTTCTCCTGAGACTTGTGGTTGGTTGTGCCAGCTGCAGAGTTCACAGAAATCCTCAGCACACATTCTCCCACCCTGTGAATCATAGCTGCTGCTGTAGATGTATTTTAAAATGTCTTAATTTTAATAAGGCTTTTAATGCTAAATTAATTTTTCAACTTTTTACTCATCAAGATTTCAATGTAAACATTATTAAACTATTTTTTTTCTATTAGCAATGTCAGCAGTGTGAGTAACTGGGATTTTTTTTTAACCTTGGTATTTTGTTAACTTTCTTTGCTTGCTTGAAATGATACAAATTAAGGTGCAGATTGTTACTGTGTTAAAGAAAGTGACCATGCATGTAAAATAGGCTATTCTGCTAGCCCTGGAAATGCATATTTATCTAGAAAGTGGTATGGTATGGACTATTCACAGTTCTTACTGCCCCACCAATGGATTTCAGCTGTTTTCCAGGAACTAAATCTAAGGAAGAATAATGAAAAGAAACAAATAAATAATCCAAAGTAAACAACTAAAATTAATCAGCATTAGAAATAGAGATTTCATTGAGTTTAAAGAATAAAGAAATACTGGGGAGTTATGCTGATATAATAACAATATTAAAATATTGTGGCAGCCACAGCTTCTCTGGGCACCCTGTGCCAGGTCTTGCCACCCAATATCCCATCCATCCCTGCCCTTTGGCAGTGGGGAGCCATTCCCTGTGTCCTGTTGCTCCATCCCTTGTCTCAAATCCCTCTCCATGGTTCCTGTAGCTTCAGGCACTGCAAGGCCCCAGTGAGGTCACCCCAAAGCTTCTCCAGGTGAACAATCCCAGCTCTCCCAGCAGAGCTGCTCCATCCCTCTGCCCATGCTGGTGCCTCCCCTGGGCTCTCTCCAGCAGCTCCAGCTCCTCCCTGTGCTGGGGCAGCTCTGTACGTGGGGCTCACCTGGGCTCAGGGGTGGAATAGCTAATGCTAATGGGAAGTCCAAAAAAGATGAAAAGAAAAACTGACCAGGCTAACTAGTTATTCTCACTGGTAGCAAAGAGATTAAAATATAACCTGGAAACCAGCAAGGAATGTGCCCTGTGTGAATGAAGGAAGGGGAAAGAAGCCAAAGGAAAAGTTGAAATCTCAGGGTTTGAACCCAGTCTCAAGACTGCAGGGAACTGAAGCTCTGAACACATCACATCAATTCTGCTTTTGATGAAAGCTGTTATTAAAAAGAGTACAATTTCCAAAGAATTCTGAACACTTAAATATTTATTTGAAGTTATTCAGTTTGTGTCTGTACTTCTGCAGGGTGTGATTTTTAGGTA